GGGGAACAGCCTGCCAGGCCACTCTGGCTCCCGCCTCCATGCTGACTGTGGGGGAGGGGTGCTGTCGCTGCACTAGGTGATCCCTTGGGCCAGGCGGTTCGGGGGAGGGGGCAGGGTGGAGCAGAGGTGGGGCAGGGCCTGCAGCAGGGGGGAGTTGCCCCAGGCCCCATGCTCCCCCTTGGGAAGGCCCTGCTGTAACCCAAGACTACATTTCTCCTTGGCGAAATATGTGGCTCACACAAGGAGCCTGTCTCTCCCCCATTTCCTATGCTCTGGGCTTGCAGACGCCCAGCAACTCCTGCATCTTCCCTCCCGCACTGACCAATACCCCAAACTACGGTCAGCAATAATCTGCAGCTGATGCTCCAAACCGGGGGGAAAAGGGGGGGAAACCTACGGTCCAGGGGGATGGAGCCAGCCCTGGCGTGCCTGGATCTGGTCCCCGAGGCACAGGGGTCTCCCCCCATCATTGGGGAGCTGGTGCTCCAGCCCTGCGGTCCCCTTCCTGCCCAGATCCTGCACCCCTACCCCATTTCTGCACCCTCCCACCCTCACCCTCGCTGCTGCTCTCCACCGCCCTCCCAGACCCACCAACCTCCAACCCCCTCCTGCCACACCCCAACCCTGCTTTCCAGCAGCCCTCTCCCAAACTCTGAACGCTTCATTTTTGGCCTCACCCCAGAGCATAGCAGGGCCCATAGCGTGGGGTGCCAGGGGGGGATGCAGCCCTCTCCCGCACTCTGAACGCTTCATTTTTGGCCTCACCCCAGAGCATAGCAGGGCCCATAGCGTGGGGTGCGTGGGGGGGATGTGGGGGCTGTGTTTTTTGTTTTGCTTTTCACTTTTGTGCACCGCCCCCCCGACTGATTTTTCTGTGGGTCAGCAGCCCCCCCCAACCCAAAAAAGGTTGCCCCACCCCTAAGGAAAGGGAACCAAGCTCATCATGAGAGAAGTCATTGTGTCTAATTCAGCTGCACAAAGCAGAGAGGGTGAAACAACAGCCAGCCCCTCCCCCGATGGGCATAATTTTCCACTCACTTTGGCTTAGACACCTGCACAGGATAAGCAGGAAATGTTCATATTGTGAGCCAATTGGGTACCCGCTGGGCTCAGGAACAAGTGTACCCACCACCAGGAGAATTTGAACCTGGGACCTTTAGAGCTTAGTCTAGGCATCTCTACAGCTGGCTGTAGAGGTTAGGCTGTAGCACTCACTTGTTTTTATCTCTTGCTCTAAGTGATCATCCTGCCGCTACGTGGGACAGTGACCCACACTAGGGCTATGTCAACACTGCTGCTGTTTTCTCATTTGCATATGTCGCTCTTATTTGCATTTCCTCTTCCTTTCCCTTTTGCGAAAGAGGTTTTTGCACAAAAAAGCCCTTCGACGGGCCATTTTCTGGAAAAAAAAACCCCTTTTGCGCAAGAACCCTTATTCCTTTTTGAAATCCCTTATTTTTGAGGAATAAGGGTTCTTGTACACGCTTCCTCCAACTTCCCTTACTCCTCGTACAATGAGGGTTACAGGAGTTGGCGTGAGAAGTCCTCCAGCTTGACAGTATTTCAGCATTATTTCAAAATAACTTTCTGCCGGGTAGACGCGGACTAAAGTTATTTCAAAATAATGCTAGTTATGATGTTAGTTATTTCAAAATAATGTTGCTGTGTAGACGTACCCTCAGACAAACCACCAGCAGCAGGCTTTATTCTGTAAGGAACACAGAACAGAATTACAGTTCAGCAGCCTCCTCTCCACTTGCAGTCTAAGTGCCCCCAGCTCTGTCCGTGCTAAGTCAGGATGCCCTGGCAGGAATTAGGAAGTTCTCTCCACATGCCACCATTTGTAGCCCTCAACTTGTAGTTGCCAAGGCTGCTTGTGAAGCACACCGGAGCTTAGGCTGCCCATGAAAAATACAGCAGCTGTTCCTACAGTCACTTGGGTCCTGTTATCATTTGTCCATTGTATTGCCATCCACGGAGGAACCCCCCATCAAGGAACAGGACCCCACTGTGCTAGGTGCAGTACATACCCAGCACAAAAAGACAATCCCTATCCAAGTTAAGTATCCAACAAGAGCCAACAGGTGGATACCACTGGAGCGGAAGGAATCAAATCAGGAAAGGACCCACAGTGAATCTCTGACCGGGGGCTGCAAAGCTAGGTAAAGATTTTGGTACGGATAGGAACAGACTCCAGTGAATCTCTGACCGGGGGCTGCAAAGCTAGGTAAAGATAGGAACAGACTTAGCACTTTGCCACTGCACACCCAGCCCTGGTATTTTATTTTAATTAAGTAAATTGACTGCATAAGCAAATTCACTCTTCACGTGCCAGAGAGGGGCTAGCACAGCGCACGCTATACCTTCACGGCTCTTTGTTTCCTTGCAGTACGATCATCTGGACTCTGACTGGCTGGGCATGCCCCCTCTCCCTTCCCCCCGCTGCCTCTTCGGCCTGGGTGAGGCCGAAAACTCCATTTTCGTGGTAGGAGGGAAAGAACTGAAAGAAGGAGAACATACCTTGGACTCTGTCATGTGCTACGATCGATTGTAAGTGCCCAGGAAGCCAAGCAGCTGGGCTGGGTGTGAGAATGAATTGATCTGTGCAGGGACCTGAGAGACAGTCTCTGAATGCTAGATCCAGTCACCCTGGCAACTGGAATTGTCCCAAATCCCTCCCTTGGGGCCCTGATCCATCTCCGGTACCATCTGTTGGGGGTCATTGTAATGGAAACCTCTAAGGGAAAGGGGATCAAAGCTGGTAAGGCAGCCAGCCAATCAATACTCATTTTCTCAAGGGTCCCTTTAAATTGCTGCTGGAGTGCCATGCTGCATACTCCATATGGTTCTGAGGGCGGGGGCGGGGTTCAGCCGTGGTCCAGGTGGCACTGAGGCCTGGCTGCCTCAGCCCTGCCCCTTCCACCAGAGGCCCCGCCCCTTCTGGGAGTAAGGACCTCCCACCTTGTCTGGGTGAAAGCTGTCAGCTGTCCTGAATCTGTGAATCATAATACCTCCAATCCTGACACCTACTGTCAATCTGCTGTGCAGAACGCCATGTCTCCTATGCATTGTGGGTTCTTCCCATCGGACAAAAGCACTGAACTGTCTTTTCCCACTCATCTCCAGAGGCCCCGCCCCTTCTGGGAGTAAGGACCTCCCACCTTGTCTGGGTGAAAGCTGTCAGCTGTCCTGAATCTGTGAATCATAATACCTCCAATCCTGACACCTACTGTCAATCTGCTGTGCAGAACGCCATGTCTCCTATGCATTGTGGGTTCTTCCCATCGGACAAAAGCACTGAACTGTCTTTTCCCACTCATCT